GCTTATCTATTGTTTGTTTGTTGTTGCTGTTAATGTCCTATTTAATTATCTAACCAGATAAATGAACTTCAAAATACAGAATAAATATGAATAAAATTTGTTCTATGGAGTGTTACTCTGTATAGAAATGTAGACATGAAACTGCAGACCTTCCAAGACAGGGAAAAAAACTAAAATTCAGCTACTTGCCAGAATTGTATTACTGGAGGACACAACAGTTTCTGATGTGACATCCTGATTCTCCCTGTGCAATTTAAGAAAGTGTTGGGAAGAAGGAACGTAAGAAGACATTTACAGCCTGAGCCAAGTTTACTTTTTCCTCAGCCACTAAGAAGGCTGTTTTAGAAACACTGCTTTGAACAAGATGTCCCAGCGTCTCTCTTTTCTCTGTATGCTATGTTTAACCTGACTGCTTTGGTAAAGCTCACCCTTCTGTCTTCACAGCTCTTGTATCTTTCCCCCCTTGTGATACATGATTACCTTCTGGGGCTAGGAGAGACTTCTGAAGGGTAGAATTTTGCTTATCTCTGTTTTAAAAAAATCTGGAAAAAAGCAAAGGAACAAGCATTACTGGGCTCATCGAGCATCTCAGCATTCCCACTGGCCTGCTGGTCACTCCCCCAACTTGCCAGCATCCCCCTCCCTAAATCTCCTTTTCCTTTTAGGATGGAGGGAGCCAAGCTGTTACTTACCATGGACCTGTATCTGAATTCAGTCACCCAGTGTCCAGAATGGCCTTTCCTTGTAGGCATTATTGACAACAAATATCTGACAGAGTGCTCCTGTCCTTTCTCTCAAACTCCAGTTACACAAAGACTTTCTGATTAACAAGAAAAAGCAAAAACTGGTTCTCTGTTTTTAATTGTCCTAAGAATACTCACAGGTATCCACTTTAATTGCTCCATTATCCAGATTACTTTCTCCGTCACTGCTGAATAAATAAGTGATTCCTCACAAGTTTAGCCTGCCAGGATTCCCATGAGGTACTCAAGAACAAATCCCATGCTGATCACTGTCTCACACAGGGGCAGGCCTGGTTCTTCTCTGGCTATTGAGACAGAGATGAGAACTATGTGCTTAGGATATGATCACAGGAGTTAAAGAAACAATTTAAATATATTCTCTGCATATGCATTCCTCTCTACAAGTCAGAAGAATTTACACCTAAGAAGATAATTTACAGGTTGAATTTTGATGAGAGAGTTCTTCCAAATGTTTCAATTTTCTTTTTGAGCTTGGCTTAAGCTTTAGATTTTGCTTTTTATTTTATTACATTTAACAGATTTGATTCTTTGCTAGGAGGCTATTTTAAAGATCCTCTTATATCTGTGGTATCTGATGTCAGGAAGACTAGGTGAAAGAAGGCATTCTGGGAAGTTTGCATACATGCTTTGTTGGAATTCTATTTCACAGAAAAATTTCAAACAACACAGGAAATGCTTCAATTTTGTGTAAAGAGCAGAACTGCTAAAACTACAACTTTGCACTCTTGATCAGCAAAAATTAGTAACTTCTTAAAGACGTCCATTACCATTTCTCATGCTCAGAATGGTCTTCTTAATTTATATTTTGCTTTGCTCCTTAATGACCAGAAGCTGGACATTCTCTTGTGCTGGTACCAGCAGCCAGTGCTGCCATCCTGGGTTCAGGGAGGGGTTTGCTGCTTTGACAGTTGCTACGTACCATGAATACAATGTGAACAGACTTTTCTATTACATATAACCCTGTAGAAATAACATGCAAGCTGCAAGGCTATCAAATGTTCTTGCAGTTATGAGAAAGGATAAATAGTGATCACTGTGTTTATGTCCAGGGTCTCATTCTCAGATTTAGCCCATACAAATGATGTCCCAGAAAGCCACTAAGACTCACTGCTGCCCTCCCCAGTGTGAGCTTGCTTCTGCTCTATGAGGGATGCTAGGTTGTATCTGCTCAGCTTCATCTCCAGCTCCAGGAGCTCAACACACACACACACACACACACACACACACACACACACACACACACACACACACTCACATACAATGGTCTCAAAAAGAAAAGAGAAGAGAAGAAAAGAAAGGAAAAGGAAAGAAAAGAGAAGAGAAGAGAAGAAAAGAAAAGAAAAGGGAAGGAAAAGAAAAGAAAAGAAAAAGGCAGAGAGGCATAAATTCACTTCCTTTGTTCTAATCTGGTGAATTTTCCTGATCTCTTGTTCTGAGCAAGGATGGGCCTCATCCCACTACGCTCACAAGCGTTAAGCTCTGATTGAAGAACCGTGATCTTCATCTGTAGGAATGTGAAGTTACAGGTTGCAAGAATGACACTCACCGTGTGTGATTTGGTGTTCTACTTTCAATTTCTAAGTGTAACATTTCCACAAACTATTCTCTGTCTTCCTGGGCTGAACATAGTCTAGCTACTCACTACAGCCCTGTTGCTCAGATGCATGGTATTTCAGCTTAGTGTCTTCTCAGCTTAAATGAAATTTAATGATACTAAGAAGATCAAAACTTACAGAAATAAGGCACACATGCACAAACAGTTATGAAATTATGGAAAAAGCAACTTCATTTATTAGGGAACAGTCATGTATCACACAAAGAATAATAAAGTTAACTTAGATGTACTTTAGCTAGAATGCAGGGATTCTTTAATGTTTTTTTCAAAACTTTAGTTATTTGAAACTCATATTTACAGAGCAAGGAAGAGGCAGAGACACACGGAGAGAGACCTTCCATTCTCGGGTTTGCAACTGAGAATGATGTACTGGTCGGGGCTGGTCTGGCTGCAGCCAGGATCCTGGAATCTTCACAGCTCTGCCTCAGCCTTGACCTGCTGAACTGTAAATTCACTGACAGCACAAGACTGCCAGATGTTTTGGTGCTAGTTGGTGTGGACGTCACTCACAGTATCTGGTCAAGGGGGAACCTTGAGCACAGCAGGCAAAGGAATATGGTTGCCAGATTTCCACTCTTCAGAATACAGAGAGAGAGTGATGGACAAGAACTTGCCTTGGAGGGGAGAGGAGAGAGCCACTCTGCTCAGCCTGGCTCTTCTTCAAGGAAAATCCAGTGTACCTGAACCTTGGGAGGGGTTTTCTAAGCTCAAGGGGAAAAACGTATTCTTTCTGATTGCCCTGGAATAGCTATGTTTCAGAGATGTGACTCTGTGGGTCTTGAACAATCGTTTTGGTGCCTCTCCATCAACTGGTTCACACCCCCCATGAACAGCAGCAGAGCTGTGAGCTGGGAACCTGATGCAATATCACAGTCTCTTGAGCTGTCCCTGTAGCCTCCCTGGAGCTGCATTATCAAAACCTGGAAACAGGACCCAGAGCCACAGCTCCAACCCAAAATACTGGGATCATGCCAATTGGTATTTTAACCATTCTGTCAAACCTCTATCCCGAGTCTGTAGTCCTTAACAAATTTATATATAAAAACTTCTTCATGTTTACTATGTACAATCACGTGAGTTTAAAAAAAAAGGATTAAAACAACAAGAATAACCGAAAAGCCCTGGACAGTGGCATTTGGTGAATGCTGGTAGTCTAGAATGCTAGAGTTCTAGTGGGGTCACATTTACACGACAAAAAGCTCCAGCTCCCATTGAAGTGTTCAAGTAGGCGCAAGTTAATTGATCAGCACATGTAGTATATGTAAAGTATATGTAAGTAGTATATGTAAACCCAAACATGGGTTAGTGGCCTGGGGTGACAGGCCAAGCTTCCACCTGTGATGCCAGCATTCCACATGAAGTAGAGTCCCAGTGGTTCTACTTGTGTTTTAGTTCCCTGTTAATGGCCTAGGAAGGCAACAAGAGACCTGGAAGGTGCTCCTCTCTCCTGGACTCAGATTGACTCAGCTCTGGATATTGAGGTCATTTAGGGAGTGAACCTAGAGACTGAAGATTTTGCGCTCTTTCTCTCTCTCTCTCAGCCTCTTTTTTCTATTAAACTCTGCCTTTCAAAAAAATAGTTATAGTAAGTTAATTTTAAAAATGCATACAGGTTAGAGCATTCTAAAAATTATTCTAACCATGCAAATAAAAATTACTTTGGGAAAGAAAAAAATTATTGTTTTTAATTATGCCACAAAATAATGTTTTGTATAGGCACTGATGCAGTAGCCTAACGGCCAAATCCTCACCCTGCATGTGCTGCTGGGATTCCCATATGAGTGCCGGCTCATGTCCCAGCTGCTCTGCTTCCCATCCAGCTCCCTGCTGTGGTCTGGGAAAGTAGTCAGGGATGGCTGCAGTCTTGGGACCCTGCACCCACATGGGAGAGTGTGAAGGAGCTCCTGACTCTTGGCTTCAGATTGGCTCAGCTCTAGCCTTGTGGCCACTTGGGGAGTCAACCAGCAGATGGAAGATCTTTCTCTCTGTCTCTTCATCTCTCTGTAAATCTGCTTCCAATGAAAATTAAGAATGAATATTTTTAAAAAATGATCCATATAGTGCCTTACTTTTTCTGCTTGCTTCCTCATTTTATATAAAAGAAATTCTGTAATGATGTAATACATTCATATATTCCTCAAGGAGTCCAAAAACAAGGGATAATTATTCTTTCATTTATTGAAATTCCATTAAATAAACTTCCACTTGTTGCCTATAGAGTTTAATATACACACAGTAGGCCTGAACAATAATGCAGACTGAACAGAAATGCTTATCAAACATGTTGTGTGTGTCTGATATAAGAAGTGTTGTAAAAAATGGACATATGGGGAGAATTGGCAAAGAATTTCCTGGGCAATATTACAAAGTTTACTGGGGTGGTGGAGTGGTGTGAACACTGAGGTGTGGCAGGTAAAGGTACCAGCCATGATATTGGCATTCTTTATGGGCAACGGTGTGTGTCCTCACTACTCCACCTCTCATCCAGCTACTGACCTGGAAAAAGCAGCAGAAATTGGGCATGTGTGACAGCCAGATAAAGATCCTGGCTCCTGACTTCATCCTGGCTATCTGGAGGGTAAACAAATGTGTGGAAGATTTCTCTTCCTTTCCCTTCCTCTTTGTATGTCTCTCACTCTCTGTGTAAGACTAATTTTCAAATAGATAAGTAATGGTTTTTTTTAAGTGTTAAGAAGAAGACGTTCTTGCTGACGCTTGGTCGAAGAGAACTCATCAGTCATGTGTGAACTCTAAATTTTACCAGAAGTGGAGGAGTGAATAAAGAGAAATTACTTTGAACAGATATTAGAACCAGCAAAATAGAAAGATTATTCGGTAGAGCAAGAATTCTTGGTCAAAGATAATCAAATGTGCTACAGTGTATAGGTATTGGGTAGAATGAAACATCATAATTTTGAGCAATTGTCATATTCCAAGCACATCATTTTCTCAGTAATTTTTGGAAGTGTCTATAAGGCCATATCTTAAATTTAAGGTCTCCCTTGAAGCCTCTGCAATACAGGAGCCTCGCCATGTCTTGGCTATAGAAGTACAAATGATGGTGTAAATGTATGACCTACTTCCTTTTCCCATTTTCTTGACTCATTTGTGTAAGAAACAAGAATTCGTATCCTTAAACCAGCAGGGACACTTCCCCACCACCTGCCCACAACTGAAAAAAAAAAAAAAATTCAATGAACCATAAAGTTGAGACAAATGATCTTTTATTAGGCCCATATCCCTGGGTGGAAATTACTTTATCAAATTCAAAAGATGAAGTCGGAGAAAAATTATCTTGCATGAGACAGAATCAGTTGGGAGCAAGTCAAGATCTCAGTGGTATTTGTCAGCCATGGCCATGGCCACACCAGCAAACAGTTTCTGTAAAGCATCTTGCATCTGTGGGGTGACGTCCTTGCCAAAGTGGCGGGCCAGCACAATCATCAGCATATTACCCAGTCGCTGTGGTATACAAGTGGGGAGACATGCATGTGTATG